AGAAATTTGATATGTGGTCAAGCTGGCTGAAAATTTTAACAAATTTATTTATAAATTTTTTTTAAAAAATGAGTCTAGGGCCGGCCCGGTGGTGCACTCGGTAGAGTGCGGCGCTTGGGAGTGCGGCGGCGCTCCCGCCGAGGGTTCGGATCCCATGTACAGACCGGTCCGCTCACTGGTTGAGCGCGGTGCGGGCGCGACACCGAGGGTTGCGATCCCGTTGCTGGTCACGGAAAAAGACAAAAAGGCAAAAAAAAAAAAAATGAGTCTAGGGGCCGACTTGTGGCTCACTCGGTAGAGTGTGGTGCCAATAACACGAAGGCCATGGGTTCGGATCCCATGTAGGGATGGCTGGTTGGCTCACTTGGGTGAACTGGCCATCCCTATATAGGATCTGAACCCATGGCCTTGGTGTTATCAGCACTGCACTCTCCTGAGTGAGCCACAGGCCGGTCCGCCTTATGGGTCATCTTTAAAAAAAAAAAAAAAAAAAGAGTCTAAATATAAAAAATACACTGGTACAAAAACTAGAATTTGGTTTTCTCTCTGTTAAAATAACAGTTTTCTTGAATTATTGATCTGCTGTTAATAAGAGATTGTAAAATGTTGTTAATTACCTTTTAAGTAATCTGCCTGGGAAACCAAAAATTTATCTTTTATTGGAATAATTTCCTGTGCTTTGTGCTAACCTTTATCATGTCTTTGATTACATAAGAGGATTTTAAAAGAGCTAACATTTTCTACATTTTTTTTTGCTCTCCTTTTTATTTTTGAGTTTCTACGTTTTTGATAACTTTACCTTCCTAAAATCAAATCCCAAATGAAATCTTCATGTTCTAGAAAGACCTTGAGATTTCCCAGAGGGTCCTTGGAAAAGCTCAAAGGTTTTGGTCTTTCACATTGGTAAAAAGAGAGATGTTAAAAATAATGCCGCTTAGAGAGCTGGCCAGTTAGCTTAGTTGGTTAGAGCACAGCCTTAGAATCACAGGTTCAAATCCCCATAAGGGCCAGCCACCAAAAAACAACTCAGTTTACTTGATATGTTCAATTGCAAGGGGAACATTGTCAAGTAAGAAAAGATAATTAACCTTCCCTATGTTATATAAAATGTTATCTCAGAACTTGTATGAAGTCCATAGAAATTTGTTAATACCCTTGTCGCTTAGAGAGCTGGCCAGTTAGCTTAGTTGGTTAGAGCACAGCCTTAGAATCACAGGTTCAGATCCCCATAAGGGCCAGCCACCAAAAAATAACTCAGTTTACTTGATATGTTCAATTGCAAGGGGAACATTGTCAAGTAAGAAAAGATAATTAGCCTTCCCTATGTTATATAAAATGTTATCTCAGAACTTGTATGAAGTCCATAGAAATTTGTTAATACCCTTGCTGTCCACAATATGTTCTAGTATAATGTTATCAGTCATATTTCTAGTTATTATATAAAATGTTGTACACCAAAGAAATAATCAAATTCACTCGTCAATTTAACTATAATAAACTCTTATCAGATCTTTAACCATTTTAAGTCTTTTTTTTTTTCCATCCATAGATATTGTTTTACTCTGATTCTTCTTTGAAAACATTTGTAATCAGCCTGAATCAGGCCAGAATGCTTCATGACAACATTGTTTAAATAAATTTGAGACCATGCCAATGACTAAGTAAGGATTTCCAGAACTCTAGTGGAGAAGCTGACATTCATGAAACTGCTAAGCCAAGATGAAGTTGAACAATAATTCTTTTTAAATTATTATTTTTTAAAATTTTAATTAATTTTTTTCATCGTACACGTTTATGGGGTACCGTTTGTGGTTTCAGTACACACACATATTGTATAATGATCTAGTCAGAATAGTTAGCCTATCTGTCACCTAAACATTTGTCATTTCTTTGTGGTTGTAACGTTCAAGTTCCTCTTTTCTGGCTATCTTGAAATAAACAGTACACTATTATTAGCCGTTGTCACCCTAGAGCACCAGAGCCATATTCTTCCTGTCTAACTGTAACTTTGTAACTTTGTACGAGTCACCAACCTTTCCCTGCCTCCTAGAACAAGAATTAATTACATGGGACTGAATGAACTGATAAAAGTTAATTATGATTATTGTCTTGGAACATTGCTGGTTCCTTAATATTTTTTCCCCAGATACAAGGAGCCTTTTTCTTGCTTCTCTTATGCTATCTATAACTCACAACAATTTAGAAGATTATACTTTTGTAAACAGAAATAAAACCTTTATCTATTTTCCCTACCTGATCACTCCAGAATTCAGAAACCATTGAGTGTTCTTGTTTTACTTTATTTTATTTATTTATTTTTAATTGAAACATAATTGATTGTACATATCTGTGGGGTGCCACTTTGAGTATCAACACCTGTATGCAATACGTGATGCTCAAATCAGGATAATTAGTATGTTCAATATTATACAATATAATCATTTTTTCGTGAACTTTTACTTATTTCTTGCTAACCACCCCCCTCTCCCCTTTTTTCACCTCTGGTATCCTCAGTTCTGTTTTCTCCTTTTGAAAGTTCAATGTATTTTTTGTGATTGTTTCTTTCTTTCTTCCTTCCTTATTATTTGTTTATTTTTTTAGCTCCCACTTATGAGTGAGGACCTGTGGTATTTCTCTTTCTGTGCCTGGCTTTTTATTTTTTTGTTGGCTGGCTGGTAAGGGGATTGAGTGTTCTTATTCTCATGGTAACATAGTTATTTCATATAAATAGTTATTTCATAGTTAGAAATTCAGTAAGAATCTATTCTCCTTGTATAAGGACACAATTAGAAACTTTGTTTATATTACCAGCGCTTTTACTGGAATGTCATATTTGAGAGTGATGTGCATAAAATCTGATCTAAGGAACTAAGGCTGGCTTTATGGAGCTTATGCTTACAAAGCCCTTTGGGAAACACTGGCCTGGCACCTGGCTTACAGGGTTCCCAGCCTTACAGGTGAGTATGGAAGGTCACTTCCTCGCCAACCCAGGAATCTTGAGGAACCTCCAGAAGAGAGGAATATTTGGGGAACCTCCAGAAGAGAGGAATTCACACAAATTTGTAGGTGCTGGAGGCAAAGTTTGGTGGTGAGTTCTTGGCTCAGCTTGCTAGACTTGAGAAGCTTTTTTAAAAATCCAGTATGAGATTCCTCATGAAAAGTTCCAGCAAACTCAAAAAGTTCCATGTGGTCAACTGCCATTCTTGCTGCACTACGTGAGTAACCAGGCCAAACCTCATGCGACCTGACTCATTTTGTAAATACAAATCAAAGAGGGGGGGATTGTAGAAAGAGATATTAGTTTTGATGGAAAACTATAGTGCACTCTTGTGGTTTATCAACTCTCCTAGTTTCTGCCAGTATCTTTTATAATTCTCCAAACTAACATTTCAATTTTTCTCCCACCCTCCTGACTTGGTATCACTGAGAGTTAAAACTGTGCTTTTCCCAAAGCCCTGCAAGCGGAAGACAACTTGATATAAACTTGAGAGAAATCAGCTCAACAGATTGTGTGTGGACGCTGGTGCCCTCTGCTGTGTGGGCCACTCAGCTGGAACACCTGATGCCACCACCGAAGACAGCCACACTGCAAACCGAGGAGTTCATCTGATTGCCACCACCTTCTTGCTCTACGACTAAAGATGCTTTGAGCCCAACATCTGGAAATCTTTTTGACTGGCTGCTCTCTGGACTCAGAAACTGGGTTTCCAACTTTAATCTTTGTTTTTCTTTTATTTTCATAGAAGTTCCCTTCATGAAATGCCTGACAGCTCAAATCATCCAATAAATATCCTCTACTACCAAGTCCCAACATATGGTTCAACTTGTCCTTAATGAACAAAAGGTGACTGCCTTGGATTGGGTGTCCCCCAAAAACTTGACCCCTAATGTGACTGTTAAGAGGCTGGGAAATCTTACTATGGTGATTGAAAGGTGGGGCCTTGAAGAGGTGATCAGACTGCAGAACCGTGCCATAGTGAATAGATTAAAACTGGTGGTCATGAGTGTGGTTTGGAGGGCTTTAAAGAGAGTGAATGAGGAGGTGGTAGTCTCTCTCTCCCTACTCGGTCATTTTCACAATGTGATGCCCTGCCATCACTGAAGTCACCATCAAAGAAGGCCTTCACCAGATGTGTTCCCTGGACTTTGGACTTCCCAGCCTCAGAAACCATAAGCGATAAATTTTGTTTTATTACAAATTACTCAGTTCTGTGTATTTTGTTATAAGCAACAGAAATGGACTAATACAGCAACCAAACGAGAAATTGGGCTTATATCATTCAAAGGAAAGAAGAGTGTCTGTCCTTTGCCCCTAGGACCAGGAACCCAAGGAGGGTATTTCCTTTCACTGCTGCTGTTCTACGTTGTACTAACAGTTCTAGTCAGTGAGACTAGACAAGAAGAAGAAACAAAAGGCCTCCAAATTGGCTACAAAGAGGTATAACTATATTTGTGGATAACACAATCCTATATTTAGAAAATCCCCCCAGATACTCCAGAATGCTGTCAGAGTAGTATTTGTTAAAACAGCCCTAGGAAAGTATCACAGTCATATTCTGATGTCCTTGGTGGGCATGAATTTGTGGGGACACTATGCAATCCACTACAATAAGCTTTCAGATTTCTTTACCAACATTAATTATTCCAATTCTAATTTGAAGAGCATTTTCCCCAGACACATGAGCTGGAAATAAAATAAGCTGCAGGCTTGCTTTTGTCCCAAACACAACTTCAACCCCCCTTTTTATCATGTAGCTCCTTTTGGTGTTCTGCCCCGCACACCCCCTCCTGCAAGTCTGTCTCCACTGGCACAGAACCCCCTCCCACGCCAGCTCAGCCAGAGCGATTCCTGTTCTTTTCCCCTGGGCCCTCTTGGGACTGCCGGGTAGAGTTTGGTCTGAAGTTTCCAGAGCCTTTCCCCTCATCAGAGCGTCCCCGTTAGCTCCAGGCTGGCCACTGATTGCTTCTGGGTTGTGTCCTGGAGTTGTATGATTCCCACCCAAGACTTGAGGGAAAGGACTGTCACTATTGGTGGGGAAAGGAACTATTGCGGGAGCAGGGAAGTTGAAAATCAAATTGAAGCCTGGCCTTCCCTAATGGCGAGGTCAGAAAGAGTGGGCCAGTTTGGTGAGCGTCCTCTTCAGGACCAGGACCCATGCAGGGCTTCCCTGGGTCACCTTGTTAGAGTGAGCAGGACTGAAGCCATGTTGGGACCTAAAGCTGCCTGGGCTGTGGAGCAGGAGAGGATTTTAAAAAGGACCGTTTTTTTTCTCTCTGCTCTTTCTTCCCATCCCCTGACTTTCTTATCCCGCAGAGTTTCTTATCTCACTTGCTAAGTAGGAAACAAAGCCCAGAAGCTAATTAGTACTCTGCAAAGCTAACAACAGTTCTTTCTCTGAGACTTGCAGAGTTTTGAGAAATGATCAAGGCCAAATGACTGAAGCTGACCTCGGGCACCAGCCAAGTACACTGGCGCAAATCAAAACCTTGCAGGGCCCTGAGATAACAGCAAAGATGAGAACAGAAACCAGACGAGGCCTTGGCGGGACCTTGTACCTGACCCATAGAAGCGGACCTCTCGTAGCTCATGTCTCCTGCTCTCCTGCTTTTCACCTCCCACATTCCATTCCCTCAACCCCTCCTTTAAAAACCCCTCAGTAAACGTAAATCTTTGAGATGGGGTAGCCTACCATCTCCTTCAGCTGAATACATCTGCTTTTCTAACACCAACCGTTTGACTTCTGAGGTTTTTTTTCTTTCCTTTTCAAGGGGGCGGGCAGCCGGACCTGAGTCCGGTAACGACCTGATCTCTGAGATGTCCCTCTTGGGCTGGACCTGAGGAACAGCCTCACTCCCGCATACGCCCATATGCCGAGGCTCCCCGGGACAGGCAAATGCCTTCTTTGCAGCCTTGCTCTGAGAGCAGCTCCCTCCTCCCGCCAACAGGACATTTTATCTCTTTCCTCCACTCCAGCCCTTTGAATGTCCACCTCCAGCCTGTCCTCATGCATCCTTCCCCCTGGCCAGGCAGCTCTGAAGTCTGGAAGTAGGGGAGGAAGGACAGCCCTGGCCTGGGTCCCAGCTCCTCGCACCTCAAGGGTGGGCTCGGACCCCAAGGCAGGCAGGGCCTGGCTGTCAGGTACCTGAGCTGAGAGAAATCCAGTGCGAGCTTAACATTTCCTAATTCCCTGGGTGGTGGTGGTTATTTTTCTGATGGCTGGCTGGTACGGGGATTGAACCCCAGACCCTGGTGTTATAACTCTGCACTCTACCCAGCTGAGCTAACTGGCCAACCCAAGTTACTTTTCCTCCTTTTCATTTTACTTCATATGGAGTAAACTCTTAAAGAAAAAGAGTTTCTGGGCTTCCCTTCAGGGAAGGGAGGAGAAAATTATAACTTTCAGATTTGCTATAATGTTCTGCTAATTTTGGAAAAAAATGTATAAAATTACAGAGCTAAAAACATTGTTTCTGATGAATTCTGGTACAAAGCAGAATTATACTGTTAACATATTTAATTTTAAAACATAATTGGTGCTGATGACACCAAGGTCTGGGGTTCGATCCCTGTACTGGCCAGCCAAAAAAAAAAAAAAAAAGGGAACTGACTACCTGTTATATGATTCCATTTATGTGAATGTGAAATAAAAAGAAACATATGTTTGGTCTCTGTTCCAGTTTTCTGGCACACAACTCCTCAAACCCTTGGAATCTCCAAAGTGATAGTGTCTTTCTGTGTGCTAATGAGATGACTGGTATCTGGGGTTCCTGGAGAGCCTCAGCATGGGGGCTGGTTGCCAGGGGAACCACCTTGTGATTAGAGGGTTGGAACTTTCAACTCCACCCCCAAACCTCCAGGTACACGGAGGGGCTAAAGTTGAGTTGACCACCAGTGGCCAATAATTTAGTCAATCATACCTATGTAATGAATCCTCCATAAAAGTCCAGAAGGACAGTGTCCAGAGAGCTTCCAGGTTGGTGGACACGTGGAGGTGCTGGGAGGGGGAGACACTTGGAGAGGACATGGAAGCTCCATGCCCCTTCCCCGGACCTCGCCCTATGCCATCTCGTCCATCTGACTGTTCCCAAGTTGTATCCTTTATAATAAACCATAATCTTGTAAGAAAACTGTTTTCTTGAGTTCTATGAGCTATTCTAGCAAATTATTGAACCTGAGGAGCAGGTTGTGGGAACCTCTGGTTTGTAACTGGTCAGTTGAGGCACAAGTGAGAAACTGGGCTTGCAGCTGGCCTCATAAGTGGGGACAGTCATGTGGGACTGAGCCCCTAACCTGTGAGACCTCATGCTACCGCCAGATAGATAATGTCAGAATTGAGTTAAATTGTAGGACACCCAGCTGGTGTCTGCAGAAAATGGGAGAATTGAATTGTGGGGAATATCCCACATATGTGGTCTAGAAGTGTCTTGTGTTGAGTGTGAGTATAGAGAAAAACAGTTTGTTTTCCCTATACGATGAAATGTCCAGAATAGCCAAATCTGTGGAGACAAAAAAAAAGATCAGTTGTTGCTTTGGGCTGGGTGGAGGGGTGGAAAGATGAAGCTAAAGGGTATGGAGTGTCTTTTTTTTTTTTCTAAAAAAGATAACCGGTAAGGGGATCTTCACCCTTGGTTTGGTGTTGTCAGCACCACGCTCAGCCAGTGAGCTAACCAGCCATCCCTATATAGGGATCTGAACCCATGGCCCTGGTGTTAGCAGCACCACACTCTCCCAAGTGAGCCATGGGCCGGCCCTTAGAGTGTCTTTATGGAGGGATGAAAGTGTTCTGAAATTGTGTGCAGTGATGGTTTCACATATCTATGAGTGTAATAAAAATCACTGAGTTGTACACTTTAAACAGATGAATTGTATGGCATGTGAATTATATCTCAACAAAGTGATTTAAAAAAAAACATTAAGGATGCTCTCTTGGCTGCATCTGCTGCAAGAAGGAAGACTATCCTCAGCAACCCAACCAGAAAATGTTGACATCACCCTGAAAGGACACACAGGTATTGTGAAGGGCCCCAAAGGAATCCTCTGGAGGCATTTCATCCGTGTAGAACTCAGCCTCCTTGGAAAGAAAAGGAAGAGGCTCCAGGTTGACGACAGTGGTGAATAGGAAGGAACTGGCTGCAGTTCATGCTATTTGTGATCTGATATGGAGTGTGACCCAGCATGTCCCTCTGGGCTCTGTTACAGCATGAGATCTGTGCACACTTACTTCCCCAGTGACCCTGTGACTCAAGGAGCGGGTCTCTTGCTGAAATCCAAAATCTCTTGAGTGAAAAATCTACTACAGGATTTGTACAAGGCCAGGTGTTGCTTATTCAGTATCTCAAGCTCAGAAAGATATCAACATTAAAGTTTTATTCAATTCAGCTGCTTTGATTTAGCAGCAAGCCACGACAGTTAAAAATGAGGATATCAGAAGAATTTTGGATAGTATCTATGTCTCTGAGAAAGGAAAAGATCAGCAGGCTGATGAATAATATCTAAAAGTTGTCCAGCTACAGAAACAAGAATATTACAAATGATTCCTAAAACCTATCTGTGATATTTTAAAAATGCAGTAAAATGTGGGCCGGCCCAGTGGCGCACTCGGTAGAGTGCGGTGCTTGGGAGTGCAGCGGCGCTCCCGCTGAGGGTTCGGATCCCATAAAGAGACTGGTCCGCTCACTGGTTGAGCACGGTGTGGGCACAACACTGAGGGTTGCGATCCCGTTACCGGTCATGAAAAAAGACAAAAAGGAAAAAAAAAATGCAGTAAAATGTATCTCCTGGTGTTGACCAAAGTGTACCCAGTTTTGGTTAGATGGAAGAGCAGGTTTCTGCAATCTGCTGCACAATAT